CCCTCAGCTGCCCCCAGGCAGCAACTGCAAAGCAAGAGCAGAGCAGGGAGCCCTGTCCCCCGTCCAGCCCCAGCAAAGGGGCACTCAAGGCCCTCACTCACTTCTCCAGGAACTGCTGCAGCCCCTGTCTCCGCTTCTCAATGAACTCATCTGTGCTGCCCACGAAGAAGGCGGATTTCCCCGGCAGCTCCGGGACAGGCCTGCAGGAACAGGGCACAAGCAGCGGATCAGGGTCGGGTCATCCCAACATCCCAGCAGGGACACGGAGAGGCACCGCAGCAGCTGCCAGGACCCTGTTTTGTGCAGAGCTGGAGCCCGAGGACTCAGATAACCGGATTTCAGCCTCTTCCCATCCACATCACTTGAGAGAGCCCGTGGGATCTCCGGGCAGCTGGAAACACAGGGCAGGGCTGCAGGTGGAGGAGGGCACGGGCCATGCTTACACCAAGCCCGCGTTCCTCTGGAGCTGCTTCCTCAGCCACACGAATTCACGGTAGCGGCGCCGCACGCATGAGGTCTTGGCAGTAAATGCCTTGCTGTTGGTCTGCAAAAAGAAAAACGTCAAAAATCAGGGAATCGGGGCTGTGCCCCGCGCAGACAGGGCCGGACAGCCGCACTCAGGAGACTCGTGCATGGCACAAGCGAGCGCTGCAGTTCAGCAGCTTTGCCAGCTTCAACTCACGTGCAGGAAGATTTTATAATCCACATAGGAGTTCCAGGAGCCTTCGTTCTGCACCCGCGGGTCCTGCACTCGCACTGTGGTCAGCTCCTGGCAGCACAATCATAGAATCACAGAACGGTTAAGGTTGGAAGGGACCTCTAGAGGTCATCTAGTCCAACCCCCTGCACACGCAGGGTCACCTAGAGCACGCGGCACAGGACTGCGTCCAAGCGGGTTTGAAGATCTCCAGAGAAGGAGACTCCACAACCTCTCTGGGCAGCCTGTTCCAGTGCTCTGTCACCCTCACTGGGCCCCAACAAGCAGCGTCACTGGCCACACGGCCTCCGCGCGGGGCCCAGGGCCCCCCGGCCACCCCGGCCCGTCCTGCCAGGCGGCGCC